CACACACACACACACACACATGCACACGCAAGGCTGGCCCAGCCCAGCCCTCTGTAATTGGAGACACAGACAAGGTCCTCACTCTGTTGTCACCACTAGCCCCACCCATTTCCACAGCACAAGAACCCTGGGCCAGGCTCCTGGGCACCCACTCCAGCCCAGCGCCCGACCTACCTGCCCAGGCCAAGCCTTGTGAGAAGTCACGTGGGTGGCAGGGCTGCATCAAGAGTCCAGACCCAGGCCCCGGCCCAGGCCATGTGCTTTGCACCCCACCTCCCTCAGCCTCCAGAACCGAGCCTGGCCGCTACTGGCTCTCAGGAAATACTGAACAAATCAGGCGAGGAATGAGGGGTCTCCTACAACTGCAAGAGCAGAGGATTGGGAGTGGCCTCCATCAGGACACTCCAAACGCTCCTCACCCAAGGGCATGTGCCCCCTAATCCCCACCTTCCCCTGAGGAGAAAGCTGGGGACTATCCTGTGAGGGATGGACCTGACTTTTTCAGTACCCCTGCCCCTAAGCTCGCTCAGCCACACCCTGCCACTTCCCTTCTGCCAGCACAGCTTCAAGTCACAAGGCGGGGTGGGGTCAGGGTGCTGTGTGGGGCACTGGGAGGGACATGGAGCCTTTTAAAGTCAGCAACAAAGTCCTCCCCTGATTTAAGCTCAGGCAGCTTGTAGCGCAGCTGGTATCCTGGTGTCCCAGGGTCTCCGGAGTCTCAGCCTCACCATCTTCCTGCCATCCCACAGGCATGCAGGGACCCTGGGTACTGTTGCTGCTGCTGGGCCTGAGGCTACGGCTCTCCCTTGGTGTCATCCCAGGTAATCAGGGACCAGTCAGCGTCCCCGTAAACACAGGTGCTCCCCCAAGGCTGACCCAGCCTCCACTATCTCCTTGGCCAGTTGAGGAGAAAGACCCAGCCTTCTGGAACCGCCAGGCAGCTCAGGCCCTGGACACCACTAGGAAAGTGCAGCCCATCCAAATGGCCGCCAAGAACCTCATTATCTTCTTGGGAGACTGTGAGTGTGCAAGGTCTGTCCCACCCTCCGTAACTCCCAGAACACTGCCACCAATGCTGCCGGTGGACACAGGTCAGCCTTGGGAAATCAGGCCTGACACGAGGGGCTCCTTCAGGGATGGGGGTGCCCACATGCCTGCCGAGGCGCTGGAGGAGGGCTGCCAGGACATCGCCAAGCAGCTCATCTCCAACATGGACATTGATGTGCGACACGAAGGGCAAGGGGGAGGGGCTGGGCAGAGGGGGTGGGCCCGCACGGGACACAGTCCCTGGCAACCCACAGCCTGAGCCCTGGGCCTGGCGGGGACTCCACGGACTTGTGGGGGGTGTAGAGGGTATAGCCAAGGACAGACCATTCCCACAGACCTGGTGGGGGCACTGGGGGCTGTCTGAGGAGGGGGCCAAGGGGCAGCCAGGCCCCTAGCCCACCTGCCCTAATCCTCTGGCCCCAGGTGATTCTGGGTGGAGGCCGCATGTACATGTTTCCCAAGGGGACCCCAGACCCTGAGTACCCGGATGATGGCAGCCAGAACGGAACCAGGGTGGACGAGAAGAACCTGGTGCAGGAGTGGCTGGACAAGCACCAGGTGACGGGGCTCGTGGGTGTGGGCGTACAGCGGGGACAAGGGCAGGGGCTGCAGGTCGTAGGGCCATGGGCTGAGGTCTGCTTCTGCCCCTCCCAGGGTGCCCAGTACCTGTGGAACCGCACGGCGCTCCTTCAGGCGTCCCAGGACCCCTCTGTAACACACCTCATGGGTAACGACCCCACCCACCCCACCACCCTGCCCTGGCCACCCGGGGCCTCAGATGGCCCAGCACGTGCAGAGACGTGGCTGCCACTGAGCCTCCCCACTGTCCAGCTACCCGTCACCGGAAGCCCCTTTCCCACAGGCCTCTTCGAGCCAGCAGACATGAAATATGAGGCCCAACGAGACCTCGGCCTGGACCCGTCCCTGACGGAGATGACGGAGGCGGCCCTGAGCGTGCTGA